GACTTGAAACACGACAAATAAACCTCAGAAAGCCTATTAAGTTTAAAACAAGTATAGCCTCAGCATTAAATTAAATGTTTAAAATGTTGTTGTTGTAAAACTGAAGCAAAATCATTAGTTTTGACATCAATTCGACGCTCGAAGTTACTGTCCGCCATGTTCGTGTACAGGATTAGTACACTGTCATGGCGTTTCCCTACATTCCCTTTTAAAGTAAGACCTTATTCAAAAGCTTATATTTTTGCTACAAAATTTCAGTTTGACTTCCAACTTCGCATAACTGTTGGTAATTATATGCTGTTCTTGGCCTTGGATATAAAATATTCATTTCGATCTTAAAACAAAGATTTTTGTAGGTATTTCTTGACTAGACTAAAACGCATTGAGCCGTGACAATCCCATACATTCTTACCAATTTTCGATCGCTCGTATTTCTGTTAAAAAGCATTATTTTCGCTCGAAATTTCGTAGTGATCTGGGGCAGTGGCTAGGGTCTGGCATGGGCCTCGCCCTAGAATGGAGAAGTAAGGCGCCTCCTTCCCTCCACTAGCCTGGGTGTTCACAGTTGGGCCTGTGTTAGCACACCCGTAGCCCCCATCGTCAGGGTACGACATTGGCGGTTCTGGCTATCAACTCGATACCAGTTCCGGCACTCGGCAGTGATGTCCTCGTCAAATCGGCAGCATCTCTGGCAACAAGCAACAGAAGAATTATGCAGTCGTCTCAACTATGTTGTGCCACTGGGAAACATGACCTTCTGCCAAGGGACACTATTATGCACCGTTTAGTGTCGACACAGTAGGTGCAGCCTCACTTTGATAGTATGATGGAAGTAAATTTGAATTTAACCAATCAAGCTACCGCATTCGGGGTAACCGATGCGCCACAGATCACGGCTGTGGTGAACAAGAAAAGAAATCCGTGCAAATCGCTTTCACTAAAGCTTGGTGCATGGAATGTAAGGACGACAAACGACAGTGATGGTTCAAGCAGACCCGAACGTGCAACAGCGATCATATGCAAAGAGCTAGACAAAGCTGCTATCGACATTTGTGCATTAAGCGAAGTCCGTCGTCCTGGAACCGGAAATCTTGTGGAAAGAACCCACACAATCTTTTGGAGCGGGAGTGACAAGAAAGAAGCTGGTGTGGGTTTCGCAATCCGCAATGGTCTCCTAAAACAGTCTGATCTTAACCCAATTCCTATAAATGATCGCATCTCCACATTACGAGTAATGTTGAAGAATGATGACTATCTGACGCTTATCAGTGTGTATGGACCCACCATGCAGAGAACTCAAGAGGAAAAGGAACAGTTTTACGAACAACTAGGAGAATGTATAGAGGATGCAAGAAACGACAGAATTGTTGTACTTGGTGACTTAAATGCTCGTGTTGGAAAAGACTGGTCGTCATGGCCTTCAGTACTGGGAAAACAAGGTGTTGGGAACATGAACTCAAATGGACTCATGTTACTTGAATTTTGCTCTCGATACCAGTGGTGTGTCATGGGAACCATGTTTCAAATGAAAAACAGTTTAAAAACCACTTGGCAACATCCTCGATCTAAGCACTTTCACCAAATTGACCATGTACTTGCAAATACTCATGCAAAACAGTACATCAGTGTTACTGCTAACGTCAAAATGCAACTTCCGAATCCAACACAAAAAGAAAGGATCGAAACCTCCTAAAAAGTTCAATATCATGTTAACGCCAGAAAACAAACAACGTTTGAAGCTGTTTCTCGACAAAAAGCTCCCGGATTGTAGATACGATTGGGAAGAATTTAAAGTGACTTTACAAGAAGCTGCTAAAAATACCTTCGATCAAAAGAAAACGGTATCGAACGATTGGTTTNTATCAAGGGTGAACAATGATCAGATAGTACATTGTAACTGTTATTCTACTGTTACATCACTGCTTAGAGAAGCACCATCTTAATTAGTACCATTATTTGGAAATTGGTGATTTGTATAGTTTATATTCCACGGGTACTTTTTAAAAATTTGTTAATAATCCAATGTTGGAATAAMTAACTAATAATATATAATCCAATATTGGAACATTATTTTGTTGGTACATTATTGGTTAATAATCCAATGTTGGAGTATATAACTAATAATATATAATCCAATACTGGAAAATCATTTTTTTGTTGGTACATTATTGGTAAACTTGTTAATAATCCAATGTTGGTATACTTTGAAATATTCCAACCTTGGAAGATGTAACGTTTTGCCAATGTTGGTAAACTAACCAAAAATACCAATGATCATCCAATAAAACTCCAATAATAACCCAATGATTATCCAATGATGATCCAACTTGGAAATTTTCCTGTGTAAGAAAGAACACTCGAAAGAGATTTTCTTCCAAAGAAGAATACACCATTCAATAGGAAGCTAAATNAGAATTCTATGCAGCTATTAATAAGATTTATGGTCCCCGGAGCAAAACAACTCACCCTGTTCGATCAAAAGCTGGTGTCCTTCTTACTTCATCTCCAGAGATCAAAGATCGTTGGGTAGAACATTTCAGTGAGCTACTTAATCAACCAACCGATGTCGACGCAAGTCTCATTGACGACATCGAGCAACTCCCGATGGATGACTCGCTCGACCTCCCTATAACCGAAGAAGAAGTTGACACAGCACTCAAAAATACCAAACTTGGCAAAAGCCCCGGTCCTGATGGTGTTCTGCCAGAAGTACTAGTACATGGTGGTAATACCCTAAAAGCCTTCCTGTTTGCAATCATCTCGAGGTTTTGGGTGACGGAAAATTTGCCATCGGAAATCACGGATCCAAACATCACCATTCTCTTCAAAAAGGGAGATCGCAGTCAATGCGGAAACTATCGAGGGATTTCTCTCTTAAGCGCCGTGGGAAAAGTCTTTGCTGACATCCTCTTACAGAGACTCAAACGCATAGCTGATAAGATTTATCCCCAGTCCCAATCCGGTTATCGCGAAAACAGAAGTACCATTGACGGAATCTTTACCCTGAGACAACTAATGGAGAAAACCAAAGAACATCGTCAGAACTTGTACATCGTTTTTGTCGACTTTACCAAGGCATTCGATACAGTAAACAGAGAATTTTTGTTTAAAATCTTGGGAAAACTTGGTTGTCCTCCAAAATTTGTCAGACTGATTCAAAGTCTCTACTCTCAAGTTCATGCTCGTCTCATTGTTAATGGAGTCCTGACCGAACCSTTTGAATATAACAGCGGTGTGAAACAAGGCTGCAAGTTAGCACCTACATTATATGGTATCTATGCTGCYGTACTTCTCTTACTTGCTTACAAAAGAACTGGTCACCAATTCGCCATAAAGATCAGGTTTAGATTTGACGGTGACCTCTTTGATGTGAGGAGACTGAAAGCCAAAACTAAAACCTTTATCGACTTCATCAGAGAAGCGCAGTATGCTGATGACATTGCAATCCTTAGCGACTCAGCACTCGGACTGCAGACCTTGCTCACAGACTACAACAGCATGGCAAAACGGATGGGTCTTTCTATAAACATCAAAAAGACAGAAACCATGTGCATTGGTCCTGAAGAACAGTTCTTTATCGATGGCACGCCAATCCAAAATGTAAACCGCTTTAAGTATCTCGGAAGTATTGTTACCAGCGATTGTTCTGTGAATGCTGAGCTCATCATGCGTATACAAGCTGTATCATCTGCATACGGTCGGCTCCGTGATCGTGTTTTTGACTCCCACGATCTTACGCTCTCGACAAAGCTGAAAGTCTATGTCCAATGTTTGACGCCACTCCTGACATACGGTTGTGAAACCTGGACACTGTATCGACACAATATCAACCAGCTCCGTACTGTTCAACAACGTCATTTGCGAAAGATTCTTCGCATCAAGTGGAACGACTATGTGAGTAATGAAGAGGTGTTACGGCGAGCAGATGCTGAGGATATCGAGATCACGCTTATTAAGAGTCGTTTGCGCTGGCTTGGTCACGTGTCAAGAATGGACAACAACCGTCC